CCAGGACCCGCGCCCTGGCCCAGCCGACCGCCGCCAGCAGCTGCAGTGGGGCGAGCGCCTCGCGCTCACGCAGGTGCGCCCTTTCCCCTCCCCCGCCCCCGCACGCGGTCGCGCGCGTGGGCGGCCTGCAGCCCCTGCGTGTCTGTGGGGCGTGCCGCGCCACATGGTGACTCCTGGCGTGCTCCCGGTCGGGTGGCACGTGCCCACACTCTCTTCGTCCCCCCTGTGAAACCCCAACCACCCCACACCTGTAATGGGTCCTCTTCTCCGGCGCCTGAAAACAACCCCGTTGGCTTCTTCTGACGCGCTGCACCCCGCACCTCCAGCCCAACCTGGGCACCCGCGAGCCGCTGCTGTCGCTGCGCCGCCAGCTGGCGGGCCTGCTGGGCGACGGCCAGGAGGCGGGGCGCTGCTGGCTGCAGCAGGCCAAGCTCTGCAGGTGGGGCAATGGCAGGGGGCGATTGTTGGAGCCACCGCTTCTGTGGCGCCTGCATCACACCTTCATTGCATGTGCAGACCGCGGCGTCAGCGCTCCTGCGCCGGCCGGGCACGAAACGGTGGCGCGGCAGCCCGTTCTTCCGACGGCTGCCGCAGAGGTCCTGAGAACAAAGCCGCACGACCAGCGCCAACCATCGGCCCCGCGCACCTCCACCATCTGCCTGCCATCACCCCCCCCCCACACCCCAACCCGCCACAGGACGATGGGCCACCATGATGGCGCCGAGGCGGCCGCGCTGCAGGCGCTGGCGGCCGGCGTGCCGGGCGCACTCTTGGAGCGGTGCAGGTGCGGCCCGGTGTGCGGCGGCCCCGCTCGGCAGCCTACTCCCCGCCGCACCCCAGCCGCTGAGGCCCAGCGGCGGCCGCGGCGGCAGCGCGTGGGTGCGGCTCCTCAGGCGTCTGTGTGACCCCAAAACAGGACCTGAACTCTGCACACCAGCGACGACCCGGGCCCTCAGCCTCTCATCTCATCCTCTCCGTCTGCCTGCACTGCCCCTCTTCTCTCGTCATTTCCCCCAATCCCCCCACACAGGCTACTGTGGGCGTGCGACAAAGGCCACCGGGCCATACGCGAGCTGGACGGCCCGGTCAGGCGGCTGCAGCAGGAGGTGGCGGGTGGGCCAGGGCGCCGGGCGGCGCGACAGGGCGCGGGAGGGCAGACCCCGAAGCGTCTTGCGCAGCCCTGCCGCTAAGGCGCCTGCAAAAAAAATGAGCCTTGTTACACCGGTTGGGCGGCGGCCTCTGTCGGCACGTGGCGCCTGCCGGCTGGTTTCTGAGCCCCAGGCGCCTTCCTTGGCGGAGTGGGTAGCTGCCTACGCTGCCATTGTGATTGTTGGCAGATGTGGGTTGGAAACATGGACCCTGCTCCAGCGCACTGCCTTTCGCAAAGCGCTCTCAGCAGCGCCGCTCCCAGCAGCGCCCCAACGCCTCGGCCACGCCGCAGGGGACTCTGACGGGGACGAGCCCATGGCGGACGCGGGCGGCCGCGGCGGCGGCGCGGGGGCGGCGCCGGAGGACGCGCGCGGCAAGGCGCAGCTGGTGGGGCGGGCGCGGGGCCAGACCAACAAAGGCTGGGGCTGCGCGCGCGCTGCGCGCCCTGGCCTGCTTTGAAAAGAGCGACCGCGGCAGAGCGCAGCATGCCGCTTGAAGCTCGGCGGCTGCCTGCACAGCACTTCAGTTTACACAGTTCAATACCATCCCACTGGACAGCCCGGCCCTATCCTCACCAACTGCCAATCCCGACCCCATCCCAGCCGTGCCTGTCTGAGCGTGCCACCGCTCTTCCACCGCCCGACGAGTCCACTCGCGCCCCGTGCCGGCCGCTCCCCCCCACCCCCCACCCCAACAGGTCCTGCAGCTGGCGCAGTGGATGCAGGCGCTGGGGCAGGGCGGCCGCGACGAGATCATGCGTGAGGGGCCAAACACACGCACAGGGGGATACGGGGGGCCGGCTCCGAAGCCTGTGGTAGTCGTGTGTGCGGGTAGCGACGGGCCAGGACAGCCAGGCGCCTTCTTCCTTTGGGGCATGCCGGCGTGGTGCTGCTCGAACTCTTTGTGCACGGCCAGGGACCAACGTCGGCCGCCCTTGTTTCCATTGCACCACGCACACACGCGCACACTCACACATACACACAATCTCGCATGCCGCTGCCCTTGAGCTGGAATTTCCCCCACACCCAAACACCCAAACACATCACACACACCTGCAAGCCTTTGAATACACACACACACATACACACACGCGCAAACACACACCCATCCATTCGCACCCTCCCAACTCACTCAAACCCACCAGCCCTGTTTGAGGACGCCCTGCGCCTGGACGCCTCCTGGGAGGCCGCCCAGTTCTCATACGGCGCCTTCCTGGACGCACTCTACGTGGA